ATGATGTAATACAGGCATGGACGGATTGGCGGGTCGGGGGGAGAAGTGTTGAGGGAGCAAAGAAGGACAGGAATGGATCGGGCAGGACAGGAACAGCAGGGGGATCGGCAGACTGAGGGGGTAGACCAACTACCTGAGAGAGGAAGGTTGATAGGAAGGCAGGATGGGAAACAGGAACAGCAGGGAGACCAACAGAAGAGGAGGAGAGACAATTTGGAGAAGGGAAGAGTGATAGGAGAGGATGATGGTAGGCAGGAATGGTACACAAGTAAGCAGGTTAGGGAAAGGGAAAAATTGGAGAAGGGAAGGATGACAGAAATGGACAACAGAAGACAAAAAGGGTGTATGAATCGGCAGGTTAGGAGAGGAGGGGAGTTGGAGGAGGAAGATGAGATAGGAACTGGCAATGGAATGCAAAAACGGCAGGTAGACCAGCAGCCCAACAGGGAGAATAAAAAGGATGAACTCCGTGACAGGACTCGTGTAGTGTCGAATAGCTGTCAAGGCTTCTTTGATAGGCACTTGGGTGAAGAGGGATATGACATCGAAGCTCACGAGTAGGTCGCTGGGCTGTAAGTTTTGTTTCTTTATGATCTCTATAAATTGGAATGAGTTTTTTACGTGTGAGGTGATGGATTCTGCATAGGGCTGTAGTTGTTTGGTGAGAAATTTGGCTAGGTTTTGTAGAGGTGAGCCTATGGAGCTGACTATAGGTCTGAGTGGGGTTCCTTCTTTGTGTATCTTGGGGAGACCATAGAGTTTGGGGCATCTGGAGGATTTCTCTCTGGGAATGATTCTTTGCTGGATCTCTTCGCTAATGGGGGAGGCTTTTATTTTGGATCTGGTGGTTTTTTCCAGGTAGGTGGTGGGATCTGTATTTAGGGGTTTGTATGTGGAGTCTTGGAGTAGGTTGGTTAATTTGGTTTGGTAATCAGATGTGTTCATAACCACCATGGCATTGCCCTTGTCTGCTGGTAGGATTATTATGCTGGTGTCTTCTTTCAGGTTACGTAGTGCTGTCTGTTCCTCTTTGGGTAAGTTGGTTTTGGGTGGCTAGCTGGTGCAGAAGATGTTGGTGATTTCGAGTCTATTCTGTTAGCGTCATTGGGGTTGATTTTGGTCAGGCTGGTTTCAACTCCACATATAATGGTTTCAGTGGGGATGTGTTTGGGAGTATAACAGTGCATAACATCTCAGATAGGATCCTCACCAAAGCCGAAACCAATGTCCTTTCCAAAGGATTCAACTTTGCAGTCGCTCCCAAAGACATCCCCACTGAAACCATTATATGTGGAGTTGAAACCAGCCTGACCAAAATCAACCCCGACGACGCTAACAGAATCAGACTCGAAATCACCAACATCCTCATGACAGCTATCCAAAACAAATATAACCCCCCCAAACACATCTTAGAACTGACCAACCACTGCCTATCCAACACATACTACATCTATAATGGATAAAAATACAAACAAACAGAAGGAGCACCCATGGGATCACCCCTCTCACCTGTCATTGCCAACCTCTATATGGAACACTTTGAAACCCAAGCTCTAGAAAAATCGGATCACAAACCCAAACTCTGGCTCAGATACGTAGACGACACCTTCATAATCTGGCCACATGGGAAAGAAAAACTGGACAACTTCCTCACACACCTCAACAGCCTACACCCCAAAATACAGTTCACCATGGAAACAGAAGCTAACAACCAACTTCCCTTCCTGGATGTCTTAGTCTACAAGAAATCCAATGGCTCCCTAGGACACACCATCTACCAGAAGAAAACACACACAAACCGCTATCTGCACGCTCTCTCACACCACCACCCAGCACAGATCAACTCTGTAGCCAAGACACTCATCTCCAGAACAAAACGCTTAGCTGACGAACAACACCTAAAACCCGAACTACACACTCTCACCAATGTACTAACATCCAATGGATTCCATAGAAATAAGATTACAAACCTAATCCAAAAAGAAACCCCCACTAAAATCCAAGACAAAGAACAAGAAAACGGCAAAGCCCTCCTCCCATACATAAAAGGCACCACAGACAGAATCAGTAAGATCCTCCATAAACACAACATCAAAACAGCATTCTGCACAAACAGAAAAATATCCACCATCCTTAGAAACCCCAAAGATAAAATTGAATTAGAAAATCAAGGAGTATACGAAATCCCATGCACCACTTGTCCCACCACATACATCGGACAAACCAACAGAAGAATAAGTGCACGCATTGAAGAACATAAGAATTCAGTCAAAAAAGAGGAACCAACATCTTCCCTGGTCCAACACCTTAAAGCCACAGGACATGAAATTGACTTTAAAAATACCAGAACCATTGCCAAAAGTGAACATTTTAATAACAGAATAATCAGAGAAGCCATCGAGATAGAAAAACGCCCACACAGCATGAACAAGCGAGATGATACCTCCCGCCTACCAGCCATTTGGAAACCCGCCCTTATTGACAAACGACTCCCTAACACAAAAAATGATACCAGACCCACACTCACAAAAACCACACAGGATGTCACCACCACACATCCACGCAAAAAACAAACCCAAAGCCACACCGATGACGAGGCACGACCACAAACCAGAAGCCAGACCACAGCTGCATCATTAGCCACTTTAAACCCCTCCAATCCATACATGAAGCAAACTGACACCCTCCATGAAGAGGAGGCACGACCACGAACGCGAAGCCAAAAAATAGCAAGGCAGCCCAAAATCTTAAACCCCTCTGCAACTCAGACTAACCTGAGCACAACCAAACAGAACACTCCCCCAGCCAATCAGAGCACAGCCAACCCCCCAGCCAATCAGAGCACAGCCAAGCCCCTAACCAATCAGAACACACCTCCACCCAATCAGAACACAGCCAAGCTCCCATCCCAATCAGTTCATACCCCCACTGGCAGTTAAAAGGAAGAAACAGCTAAGACCACACATTGCTGCTCAAAGCATGAAGCTGAAAACACCAGCCTGAAGATGACGAATGGGACTTCGTCGAAACGTCACCAAGACACTTCCAATTTTACACGGGAGAAAACCCGAACAACCAAAGACCTATATATATATATATATATATATATATATATATATATATATATATATATATATATAATCAAATATTAAAGCTCTTGGCAATAGAAAACAAGATTCTCACAAAGTGTCAGGTCCCCAAATCCTTATTGTCTTCCTTGCATATTTACTCTTGTGCTTTTGTTTTGGGGCCTGCCATTCTGCTGGGGATAGGGAATTTCGCTTATCAGGGAGACAGTTACAGAGAAATGAAACTGGAGAAGATCTTGAGATGTGCACGAACTGTGCCAGTTACCCACACATCATGCCATCTGTGGATTGGCTGGATTTCAAATGGACATTAGGACTTTGGTGGGAGGAGGAATATTACTAGTTTAACTACACCATTTAAGTGGGATTTTTCCCAGATCTCACCTTGACTTCCTACTGTCACTAACCCCTAATAAAAGTTTCCTTTTGAGACAATGCCTGTTTCTTGGGTGGTTAGCTGAGGTGGGTCCTTACACAAAGTTTTCTTTAATCAGATTTATTGAAAGAAAAAGAGTATTCTATTGCAGAAATCTCAACAACTGAATACTTTCACTTTATCATCTTGCTTTATCTATAATCATTTCTAAGTTTAGTAGAGCAGGTACTTTTCAATTTTCTTGTTAAACACCCATTTGCTTGAGATGGAAGAGGGCTAATTGTCTTCCTGATATGATTTTTTTTTTTGCAGATATTCCAAGCTAACAATCTTTGGTTAACCACTATCCAGTTTCAACTTAGCTTTAATTAAATAGGAGAAGACACCCATTTTCACTGATTTTAGTATTCTGACAGTGAGAATGATTAATCAGTGGAACAACTTGCCTCCTGAAGTTGTAGGTGCTCTATCTCTGGAGATTTTCAAGAAAAGATTGGATAACCATTTTCCCAGGATGGTATAAGGACTTCTTCCTTAGATAGAACTTTGGTCTAGAAGACCTCCATGGTCCCTTCCAGCATTATGATTTTAAATTCTAAGTATATAGATCATAAAGTGAAGCAATTCTACACTTTTAAGCCTGACCTTAATGCAAATCTTAAATTACCAGGGTTAAGAAAGTTTTCTTTTGTATTTTCCTCTTTTTTGTCTTTCCATGGTCATGATTTATTAATAATCTTTGTCTGTATAACAAACTATATCTACTTTATTCCTTAAACCTTTAATCGTTTAAAAATAAATTGAAAGTAAAAATCAGAAATGTCATATAATAAAATGCCTGTACATTTATTTGAACCCTCATTGTTTCCCTGAAATAAATAGAAGTAAAAGATAAAATATGTGTGGGGGGATATTAACAACAATAACTGTGTAAGTAATAATTTTTCAACAACTAAATTAGCTTCTTCACAGAGTAAAAGAACTAAAGTAAAGATTCTCTCTCATTTTCACACAAGTAATTTTCTCATTGGAAAGCAATTTAATAAAGACAGAATTATTTCATCAAGCACTACAATACTTCCAATAAAGGATAATATTTATAGCTCAGGGTTGAAATGAGGAGTTTTCTTGCAGACATTTCATTATCCAAACTAGGTAATATGCACTGATGATATTACTTAGTTTGGATAATGAAACCTCTACAAGAACACAACTCAGATTGAAGACCACCAAGGACCCTTCACTACAACAAGTTATACACTTAAGTGAGCTGGCATAATGCCCAAAGGCTGCTCTGTCATACAGATATGTTGTCCTTCAAAATTTTAAAACTCTGTTTACTGCAGTTTAAAGTAACCAACAACTCTTGAAAACAGGTTTAAGATTAACCTGTTCTAGATTCTTGAAGTCATTGTTTAATACAAAAAAGTTTAGCTTTTTTAAAGAAAAACATGGTTGTGAATTGCTAAAACACCAATAAAAAGAAAAGCGGCTCTGATCTAAAACAAAAATATACACTTAAAACCTCTAATTACCTGTAACAGTTAATTCTGTGGTTCTTCTGACAGAAAAGAGACCATACTTTAATTCACAAGTGTAATTTCCAATGTCATCTTCTGTGACCTCCCGGATAACAAGAGTATCCTTTTTGAACAAAATGCTTGGTCTCCAGGTTGTGACTTGGCATTCCTGTGCAAAGATAATTACAGTATTTTAGTAAGTATAGCCCTTGTATTTTTATTTGTCACATCAGTTTCATTCAAAACCTGTAATCTTAAAAGCTTTTTTAAAAAAAGTCTCAAAACAGTACAAAGTTCATTGCATTGATTGACAGGAAACTATTTTAAATCATATTTAGAACCTTTGGAATACTTTTTCCTCAAACACATTTAGAAGAAAAATATATCCATCCATATAAGGACTTATTTCTCTTTCTTTTTCTTTTTCACAAATTCTCAACAACCACACTGATGAACTTTGGAACAAACTTTTCTCCCCTGGAATCATATCCTTATAACACTGAAATAGAAATAGAAATAGAAAAACTGCTTCATGGAAATGTAATAATTGCTTCATATATCCTTATGGAGAAAACACTCTTTCTCCTACTGGTAGACCCTTAATTCTGTGAAACACACAGATATTTAAAAATATCTTTGAGAAGAATATTTCTCATCGATGGAATGGGGTGATATGGGTGCACTCAAATCCTTTGTCTTTTATTACACAAACATTTCTGTAGAGGCTTCCTCTCTCTGGCTTCTTATGTTGCCATAAATGTAGAGGCTTCCCATCCCACAACAGGATTAAATGGAACATCCAGGAATACTTTAATGTGGGGGGAAAATATAACATGTCCGGAAAATATATTGTTATATATTATGTGCCATCTAGAGTAATAAAATGAACACAAATGTCTCATCAATTAAAAAATGAAAAAAAAAATCTCAGACATGTGGAGAACAATTAGGAAAAAAAGTTGGCCTCTTTTTCATGGGTATGACATGTTTCATAAATAATTAAGACGTCCTGTGACAAGAGGCAGTGCTATGACCACTACGCTATCCAGCTGCTATATTTACTTTTGTACTACTATCTACTTGATCAGAGGTATGGAGTATTAAAAAAGGGAATACATAAACCAATGATTGCGAAAGAAGTACCATGGAAGGTCCGGAAGGACAGAAGAGGAAATGCAGGAAGCATAATCTATACTATAGCCATTTATAAAATAGTTATTGGCTTCTATATTGTTCTTAAATTGCTTAAATTCCCATGGTTGATTCTTCCATGGCTGAGTCACTAGTTCTAATAGTGCTGTATCTGTTTGCATGATCCTTTTTTTGGTGGCCCTTCTTGTGCTGTTGTACTTCATATCTGCTTCTCAGGTTTTCTTATAGTCTGTCCTAGCCCTAATCCTAATCTTAATAGAAAGCATTTTTTTCTGGGCACTTAGTTTTAGTTTTATTAAGAGAATGATGCAAATTTACTTGTTTAAAATGATGTCATTGTTTCCTTTTCCATAGAAAATAGCTTTCTTTGGGTAGGGCAATTGGATGAAAGTATATATTTAAAGAGGGTGACACATTCATGTTGTGGGTGCAACATTTTAGTTTTTTTTTTTTTTAAAGTACAGGAGCCATTGCCTGAAATGTTAGTTATTAAAATAGAATATCACTATGTGTCCACCCTTGCAACCTCACTTTTAAAACCTAAATTATGATTTATTTTATTCATATTTTTATTTATGTACAGAACTGTCTTGTTAGTACTATACACCAAGGTTTTTAAAAACTATATCACTATGTACTATGAATGTGTCTATTATCTAATTGCCATATTTTGTAATATATAAAGAATGCAGCAGCTATGTATAAAATTGAAAATATAAACAGAGAAATTTCATTTTCAGAAGCCAAAAAAATGACCTACTGCATTTAGAAATTTGTCTATCAAATATCACCTTGCTTCTGTTTTTTTCCCATTTTTAAGTTAACCTTTTTTAAATTACAATTCTCAAAATCTGATGAAGCTGTGCATACCATCTATAAGAAAAATTCAGATACTAGAAATGGAGCAAAACAAGACATGTAATATTTTGTTCAAGATTTTTAATATTTCTTACCTTATACCATAAGATTTCTGGCTCTCTATATGGAATTAAAAAATCTTGTATGTCGGGGCATGAAATTTCTTTGCTTTTGCTAAGTTCAGCCTTTTCGAAATATTTCATCTTTGAATTGTAGCACAGACCAGTATCATTTTCACCCACTGTCAGTGAAATGGAAACCTTCATACAGTAGGTTGAGTTTCTGCCATGGAACAAAATACAAATAATAAAAAATGGTTAAAAACAGCATTAATTTCCCCAACTGCAGTAATGTTTTTTCAAGCACAACAAGAATCTTCATCAGTACAGTAAAATAGGGGGAGGAGAGACATCTAATTTTCAATTTTTATTTAATTTTGAAAAATTAGTACATTTCATTTACTTTGCACAAAGTATTATACCTCAAAATTTCCTTAATTCTAATTATTTTCTAATTATGGCAAGACAAGTTCCTGCACGGAGAGAGTAAATTTATAAAGCCAGTTATTTACTAATCGGTATTAAAACCTTAATGTTCCTCTGTTGATCAAAAACTACCACAACAAATCCTTATAGCTGAACTAATCAGTTTATAGCAATATATTTTAACCCTCCCAAATTCCTAAAACTTTGCACCATAAACATAAAAGTTAATTCATCTATTCGTTACATTATTTTTTGAATGAATAATAGTAAGACATATTCCCTATAATATTTATTTAAATTTAACTACCACCCATCTCACTCTCAGAGTGACTCAAAAACAGAGTGACTTGCTTAATATCAGCCAATGTAAACTGCAGCCGTATAAATAAGACACCTACTCATTTATTATATTCCTGTACCTCTTTACTTTCAACCGTTCTGCTGAAGTGACTTAAGAATACAGCACTTTCTGGTAATATAAATAAGAACACAGTCAAAACTTCCATGTTTTATGTTCTACGTGACCCTTTTCTCCTACTTATGCAGTTTCATTATATTCACAGAGAAACTGGAAAAGTGTGTCTCAGTTAGATGGTGCTGAAATCTTACAAATAGAAATGCATATGGGAAGTATTTTGTTTCAGATTTGTTTTGTTTTGCCTGGGTGGTTTAAGAAAACATATGAGTCTTTTTGCTGAACCAGCATCCAATCTATTTGGATGTTTCTAAGCATGACTACACATAAAGTGCATTTATATTCTCTCATACATGATCTGTTGAGATAGTAATTTGTATGTTTGGTTCATCAAGAAAGACAATACAATGATATTTACAATTTGTGAAATAAATAGAAAATAGAAAAATAGAATAGAAAATGTAAATGAAAAAGGATCACTAGATCTTGATTTTAGGGGATAAGGAAATGTCTATAAAGGAAATGATACTGTAGCATTTATACTTATCAACAATATCTGGAGATAATAGACCTCCCTCTTCCCCCCCTTTGAGAATAGGCAATGTCAAACAACACTGAAATCATGAAAATCTTTCTCTTTGTAACAACCTTCAAATATGCCTTATTTCCTATCTATATATGCTCTGTGGAATCCTACCATGATTCCAACAAATCAAAAGAGTGATCTCTTTTGGTTTGTTGTAGAAAAATGAATATTAGAGGATCAAACTATTTAGAGGCAAACTATCTAACCTGAGAATCTGCCATTCCTGTATGTGTGATTGTCACTGTCATTTTACGCTATCAGAGGAAAACTTAAATATATGTCTTATGGGAACTGGTTAAGCAGGAGGGAATAAAATACTGAAATGCATTTATTTCTATAAAACACATCCATTCTGCTTGGGTGTATTGAATATTGTAAAATGAATTTAATTAGCTGATAGATTTACAGATTATATGATTTGTGTCAGATAAAAATCATGCTTTTTCTTCCACTTCCATTGGAGTAAGCTTCTGATGTTCACTACAGGTAGTCCTCCACTTACAACAGTTCATTTAGTGACTGTTCAAAGTTACAACAACACTGAAAAAAGTGACTTATGTCTATTGCAGCATCCCCATGGTCCAGTGGTCAAAATTTAGACACTTAGCAATTGACTCATATTTATGATGTCTGCATTGCCTTGGGGTCATCAGCTTCTGTGATTTTCTGACAAGCAACGTCAACGGGGAAGCCAGATTCATTTAACAACCATGTTGCTAATTTAATAACTGCAGTGATTCACTTAGCAAATGTGGCAAGAAAGATCATAAAATGGAGCAAAACTCACTCAGCAAATGTCTCACTTAGCAACAGAATTTTTGGGCTCAATTGTGGTCATAAATCAAGGATTTGTAGCCCACCCAAAGTCAAAATTAAAAAGAAGTTGGTTAGAAACATCTTAATGTTTGAGATCTATTATTATACACAGTTGTAGTTGTAGACATATTAGGATATTAGCAAATTTAAATCCTTGTGGATATTTAAATATTGTCAACTGATGCAAATTTATACGCTTGGATCCTATCTAAAAATTTACATGCTTGAATTCACTTCATACCAAAGTAAATAAGTTTCTGGGGAAGAGTAAAAGATACATGTATTAATCTTCTTCTTATTTTATCCAATTTTCTGAACAATATGGTTACAACATGTAGCGCTTAATAAATTAAGAATCATTATGAACAATTTTCCTCCTGCTAATTGGAGGCTCTGATTCAAGTGGTTACAATCCAAATGGAAACTCCCTGTAGGTTTTTCATTGTGTACTAAAAATTGGTACAAACCTCACAGTCGGTGCCCTTTTCAATATTGTACCATTACTAATGCAACAGAAGTTCATCCAACCCATGTTTATAAATTGAGGAAGAAACAATTAATATGGTAGAACTTCTATTCACTATCAATATAAATGTATAATAGGACAACTGTCTTAAATGCTAAGCTATGTTCCAATATTTATTGTTAACAGGGCTTTATCATAGGATAAAAAGTACAGGATAAAGTTACTGTTTAAAAATTTCAAATGTGTAATAAAATTACACTCAATATTAATATACGGAGGCAGATCAGAAATCAAGTATGGACTATCTATGCTCAGAGATTAATTATACGATAATTATATTTGATTGAATTTATTTATTACACTGATAATGTAACACAATGGCTGAAATAAAAGATTCCAGGGAAAGGGAATTATTAAGACTTCTAAATGTATCACACAGGTATTTTTGCCCCAGAGTATCCAGTTCTCTTAGAAGAAGAACAGCTTGTTGGCAACTCTATTTTGATGGCTTTTGAATTAGAATGCAGTCACAAGGTACTGCTTCTATTACTACTACTTTAGAACATCAACAGAGACCAAGTTCTCATTAATGCCCCTGGCAAAAGAATTGGGAAGGGAAGAGAGCAGCAACTAATGAAAGAAGATTATAAAATCCTTTTCTCAAGAAAGATCACTTTGTGTCAGTGTCAGTGTCAATGTCAGTGTCATTGCCATTAGGTACTATTTGAGTTTATTTTCCCCCAGATTTTGTGCTGTTGTCATTTTCTGTTTTACCCAAATTGTTAATCATAATATTTTATATAACTGATTCTTGTTCTTGCTCTGTGTTGGAAGTGGTCACTTAAACAGCACTGCTTACTTTTCAATACATTCTGATCTTATACCTTTTGATACTGTCCACTAATTTGCTTCTTCCCTGAGCTTAATTCATTTTTATTCAAGACAGAAAGTCTAGATTGGCAAAAGTTCTCATTGATCTACACGAGCTATTAACTGATAGCATCTTACAATTGCACATTGGATCTTGTTAGATGCCCAACTTGCCACCTTCAAATTGTGGCTAGTCATAAAAGATAATTTTAAAAATGCATTTTTCCCCACAATCTGTAGATTATGGACTATTTTATAGTATGCAACAGGAAGTCTTGTTGCTGCCATAATGGGCCCATCCTGACTCCTGTAAAATCTGAGACATCCCAAAACAATCAGTGTCATGTCACTTTAAAGAGGCGAAAAACAAAGCATAGGAAACTATTTCCCTACTAAAAGAAAGCATAGGAAACTATTTCCTTACTAAAAGGCACTGGGATAGGTTGTGGTTTGAGTCTGAAGAAGCCAAAGTGTTGTGGAACCAGATTTTTGTTAGCATTGTGTTTTGTTTTTACTACTTTTGTGAGCCAGAATTGTGTCTTTTACGGGCAATTGTATATGAAAAATTAAGAAACCAGTAAATCAACAAATCAGTAAATAGATAACACACTCAACATAGACACAAACAGACTACATTTATTCCTCCTTAACCACCACAACTGAGCTCAGAAATTTTGTTGTAAGTTATTGTGGTAATTAAGTACAATACGCTTAATTTTATGACCACTTTTATGCCAGTCATAAAGCAGGTTAAAGTGGTCATTTAGTAAATCATGTGGTCATTAAACAAACCATGTGGTCATTAAGTGAATCTATTTTCCTGAATTAAAAAAAAATTGAAACCAGAAAAAAAATGCTATAAATTGTGATCACTCGACACTGCAACCAGTTATACACAGTGCTTTTTTTCTAAAAAAAAAAAAAAAAAAAGGTGCCGGAACTCATACACGTCATACAACCCGCCTTGCCTACCCTACAAGGTTCCATCCCAAAAAGGAGCCGGAACGTCATTCTGGGCGTTCTATGAGAAAAAAAGCCCTGGTTATACATGCAAACAAATTGCCAAGCACCCAAAATATATTCACATGACTGTGTGTTTGTGTGTCTAGAGAGAAAATCATAATTCAAGGATGGGTCAGCAGTATCTTTTTTGGAGTCCATTGTAATTTTGAATGATCATTAAATAACCAATCATTAAGCAAGGACTAGCTGTAATCTTTCAACTGTAGACATATCATGATTTGAATTCACATGGACACTACTACAAATTGATTATCATTTCATTTTTTGAACAAACTAAAAGAACAAAAGACATGTTGTACAGATCTGTGTAAAACAAACAATAAATTTATATGAAAATTTTGAGGAATGTTATGCTATCAGTTTTGATTGGAGTCTCTTTACATACATTTACATAGGAAAACTCAGAAGCAAGATAAGCTATGATAGCTAGATCTATCCTATATATGTGTCTACCAGGTATCAATAAGACATTTATATTATCTTTAAAATGGGAAATACTTTAATTAATCACAGTTCATGTTTGTATAATAGTATATAGACATTACCCAGTTTACATATTTACAAAACAACTCAAAAACAAATTGTGTATTTGTTATTCTCTCTTTAAGTGTTATAGGCCAA